ATATATATATTTTATTTATTTTTAATAAACTTTAAAAATGTGTTAGTCAAAACCTTTTTCAATTGATTAATAATAATGATAAAAAAAAAAAAAAAAAGAAGAGTAGATATATATATATACTTACTTAAGTCATTTTCTCAAAAGGGTTAGTCAATTAATTCAAAAAATGATTTTTTATGCTTTAATTTATTAAATTGGTTTAATTTATTTTTTAAATGAACTAAATAAATTCTAATTAGTCTAGTTTTATTAATTTTCTAATCACTTGCACCTTAATTCAAGTATTTTCATTTTAGGTCTCTTCCTCTAAAAGATAGAAGAAAATGGTTCATTTCTTAGTTATTTTTCAAACTTAATCGATTAGTGTAAATTATTATATATTTTTTATGTTATTATTTTTTCTAAAAATAGTCAAATATATTTTAAGTCAAGTCGCAAGTCAACCGCATGTTAGCGGACACTTCGAATGCTTAAACCCTTCTCGAAGTGTAAATTGAACCCCGAACCTTCTTTGGTATTTTCAAATGATTTTTTCTGTTTAAATCTTTGAGAATTATAAGTTTTCTTAATTTCTTTAAAAAATTAAGTGGCGACTCTTTTCTAAGTATTTTTCTCAAATTGTTTTATACTTAGAACATTTCAAAAAGTGATTTTTCTAGAAATAGGAAAATTACGACATTACATCACTCACTAGATAACATAAATAACATCCCAATTCAATCCGCAAACAAGAGTTGTAGGAATTTCTTATTCAAAATACAAAAAAGTCGAGTACAAAATGATCACAAATACAATACACACTTCAACTCACTTTTTCTTAAATGAAGACATTCATGATCAACAGATCATATGGAATTGACTAACCCCTTCTAAGAACCTTTTTTTTTTCTTTTTCATTTTGTTCTTTTATTCTTTTTTTAAATCATCAAAGATGACTTTTATACAACCATTAGACTAAACAGAGCCATGTAGTTGTTTCTCATTCTTTGTCAACAACAGAGAGCAGAGGAACATTGACATTGTCGCCACAATCAACAAATTGGTAGTTCACAATAAGGTGTCCTTGTTGATTTCCTACTCCGTCTGTATCGATTTGTTGAAAAACGTTAATGTCCAAATCTAGTCCGCCGTTGCTGCATTGATCCACGATTCTCACCGTCGTTTGAGCTCCTGTACGTGTATTTGTCACCTGTATACATAATTTGCGATGGTATTAGTTAAGTAATATTATTTAGAAACTATGTATTAATAAGATGATAGTGACATTCAAAAGTCAATGATCATTACTTCAGACTCTTTTAATGAGTTACGCTATCACAAAATAAGCCTAAAAACTCTTATTAATATTAATTAAACATCTCAATACTAGAACTACTTTCGTATTGCTAAACAAGGAAACTTTCTGTTCCCTTTGTTTGAATAAACACTGCTTGTTTCCTTTTAATTTATAGTCAAACCAAAGTATACCAAATTAGTATTGATGGAAATGAAACTCTCAAAATAATCGTAATTCACAAGATATTATAATTCACAATTAGATTTTTTTTTAAAAAGAAGCACAATCTAGATCGTGAACTAGAGAGATAATTTTGAATAAATTATATAACAATCGCTTTCTTTGTGACTGGTTTTTGTTGTAAAAGTCAATTTAGATCTAATTACACAGAAAGTCTAGGAACATATACTTCAATTACCAAAAAAAAAAAAAACTCATCAAATTAATTACTCTATCAATTTGACCAAAACCAGTGAATGTTGACCAGTACTCATTCAAAATCATAGTTTTAAAGAAATCTTACTTGGGAAAAATACATTTGTTATCCTGATTATGATTAGGACCTTGATATGAATAATTAAATCTCAATATATACTTTATTCGTTGTTTCTGATAACTCACTAATTTCAACTTTTCTGAATTAACAATAAAAGCGGAAGGATGTAGTATATCTTACCCTTAAGCACTTTCCGCACGAGTCTCGACCACGAGGTCCGACTGGACCACAAAAAGCAGTCCAACCATACTTCTTCCGCCAGGACAAAGGCTTATTAGCATCCCAAGTTGAACAGTAAGCGCTAACAGCATTCAAATCCCACCCAACATTCTGTGGGTTATATATATGATATGTTGCACGAACGTTTTGCGCGCTGCCCCCTTGGCCTGGAGCTGGTCCACTTCCACTGCACTGGCTCTGGCAACCTTGGCTAGGTGAACAATATTCGGGTGTCGATCCACACCACCCGAATTGGCTGCAACATAAGTTGTTGTCACATAACGCTCCGCCCCTTTGACTTCCGCACTGCTGTGCGTTGGCAACTGAGGTTAGGCTGATGCAGAGAACCAGAGCTAGTAAAATAGGAGCACAACTTAGCTTAACCATTTTTTTTAATCCAAAAGTGTAGGTATTATTTGATTGATGTACGTTTGATTTAATAGATTTGGGGGGTTTTATAGGACTTTATTTATGTACTGTATTTATTTTGTTTGTGTGATCCGTGAAATTTGCGTGCTTGCGGCAGCTTAGACTGGCACTATTTTAATTAATTAATACGTGTTATTTTTAAGTCAATGTCAGTAGGGATAAGATTAATAATTATTACGTATGACATATACTTCCTTTCATTTCAATTATATGATTTATTTTGATCGGACACGATTATGGTTTTTTTAAAAAAAATAAAGTACACTTTTTAATTTTATAATTTTAAATTAATATTAAATGTATGAAAATGTTATATAATTTTGTGATCTTAGACATACTTAAGTAGAAAGGCGAAATTTAAAGAGTTGATAAAAAAATTATTTTTGTTGAAACAGATTAAAAAAAAAAAGCAAATCAAACAAATTGAAACGAAAAAATATATAATAATATATCATAAAGAGTACATTTTTTAAAATAAATTGTATTTGATTTTAATTAATTATGATAATATAATATAATATAATTTGTTGTAAGCAGACTAGCAGAGAGTACATGGAACTTTTTATATGGTATTAACTAATGAAATGATCAAGGCAGTGAATGAGGTTGCTCTTTCCTTAATTAAAGTTCTTGGATTCAAGTCCTAATTATAAAAGAACATTTGGTAGGGAGCATTTTTTCTCGAATAGAGACTTATACGGTACAAAATCAAATATATTTAAATTTTAATATGAATATCAAATACAAATTCAGATATAAATTGACTTTAATACAGATATCGAATAAAAAAAATTAATGGCGGCTTTTAGAAGTGCACGACTTGAGGTGGCTATTAAAAATATGTTGGAATGCGTCGTTTCTAGTAATTGCCTAGAGAAGGTCCTCCTCGTTGAATTAAAAATAAAAGGACCTTTAAGAAAGCCAAACTTTACTTGATATGTGTGTTTGATCCAATCTACCTATGAAATTTTTGTATAAATTTAACGAATAATTACATACTAAATCATTTAAGTATTTGAGAAGCAACGTATCCAGAATTTCAAGGTGATGGGTGCACTATTATAAAAAAGTGGATCTAATAGGTTTGACCTGTAAGTTTGTGTCATTAAAAACAGTTAAAATTTTAAAATTATAGGTCCAAAATTGAAACGTTTAATTAATTAAAACGCCAAAAGTGCTATTAATTATAACCACTTAAAGAGGTGTTACCCAATTGTAGAAAGAAAAATAATGCAAGATAGATATAAAATTCAAAATTATAATCTCACTTAGAGTTGCACCAATTATTATCGAGTTATATGATACTTCGATTGTGGGTTCACATATCTATATTTAACAAAAAAATAAAAAAATATAACACTAATATATATGATTTGAGGAGGGAAGTATGGATTCACGTGAACTCGATGACCCCTGTAAGTCAATAATTATTTTATATAAATAAAAATAATTGTATATTCCCTATATAGTAAGAAAAAACATTAAATTTTAAACAAAGACTAAAATAAAAATTAAAATACAGTAGGAATAATTAAGAGACAAAAAGTACCTTTCTTAAGTTTATTTCTACTTCTGATCCACAAATGCGTTGATAATAGAGGTATAGCTGAATAAATGAGTCTAACAGACCAATTTTTGGAACTATGCTTATACCACCACACAAATTATGAAATTTAATATCACTACTCAAAAATTTGCATCTTATCCTATTTGTTTATCTCTACGATGCACGAAGTTTGAAAAATTTATAATATGAGTGTTACTATTAATGAAGAAGAAAGTATTAAATGGAAATAAATTTATATATTTTTAGATAAATAACTTAAAATGATATTAGATCAATTTTAGAAAATATGTATATAAAAAATCTGATTTTGCATATAATAAATCATGAATTCACAATAGCGACGACATATTCAGTATAAATTCACAAGTAAGGTTTAGGAAGGTAGATTATTGCATAGAACATCAACTCAAAAGAATAATCGACACAGGATAGTAAGGAAGAAAATGAGACAACAAAATAACAATATAGGAAACAAGTGTAGCAACGGATATCAATACACACTAGAGAAAAAGAAGCTATGTGATATTTAAATCATACTGTTATTAAAAGTACGATAACACTCAACTGATTTTTAATCTTATACCATAGTCCTCGGCCTCCATACATTTTTATCTAAGGTCATGTCATCAGTCAACTAACGTTATGACATATCCTATCTAACTCCTACTATAAGTCTAACCAACCTCCTCACTGACGCATCTTCACACATCCTCTTCGCATATGGGAATATCTAAGTCTTGCTTTCCCTCCTCTTCCCAACAATTTATTGTTTCCTTTTCATTTTATACGGCATAATGTCTAATTTTGGACATTTCAAAACATTAAAAACCATTTACACTTATTTATATTTCCATTAATTATTATATATACGGCATATTAACATCTTAGTTTTACGTTCGATTAAATATCATTGCATTATATAAAACAAAGGAGGGATTATTTACTCAATGGATCAACTTTATTGGACGTACATGACTTGTCTCAATTCGGAATAACTTTTCTAAAATGCTTAAGGAAATAACTTTATTGTTATTATTAGTTTCATCTCATACTTTAACATTTATTTGGGTAGTCAAACATGAATCTTATAATTCTGTGTCAACTAGTATAAGATTAATTATCACCACAATCAACAAACTGGTAGTTCACAATAAGATGGCCTTGATGATTTCCATTTCCGTCTGTGTCGATTTGTCGAAAAACGTTGACGTCCAAGTCTAGTCCTCCGTTACTACATTGATCCACGATTCTTACTGTCGTTTGAGCTCTTGTACGTGTATTTGTCACCTGATACATATTTTATACATAAAAAAAAATCACTAAACTTTGACTAATTAATTAATTAATGTATGTAACGTGGTATGAAAGTTTGAACAAAAACTTGGTCTTTATAATGAAATATATCTTACCCTTAAGCACTTGCCACAAGAGTCTCGACCACGAGGTCCGACTGGACCACAGAAAGCAGTCCAACCATACTTCTTCCGCCAGGACAAAGGCTTATTAGCATCCCAAGTTGAGCAGTAAGCACTAACAGCATTCAGGTCCCACCCAACATTCTGCGGGTTATATATATGATATGTTGCACGAACATTTTGCGCGCTACCAGCTGGAGTTGGAGTTGGGTTTGGGGTTGATCCACCACCAGTGCAGCGGCTCTGGCAACCTTGGCTAGGTGAACAAAATTCGGGTGTTGATCCACACCACCCGAATTGGCTGCAACACAAGTTGCCGCTGCATAAGGCACCGCCCTTTTGTCTACCGCATTGCTGTGCGTTGGCAATTGCGGCTATGCTGAAAAGGAACAAAGATAACAAAATAGTACTATTACTTAGCTTCACCATTTTCTCGAAAGAGTTAATTAATTTGTAGTATAATTTGATCTTATTACTTGCGGGTTTTTATAGCACATTTTTTTCAAAAGTGATAGCTAATAGCTACTTAGACTGAATTAATTAGTTTGACAACTTGAGTTGGAAATTTGGGATATTAAAAATTTACTAATTTCATTCATTTGCATATTGTATTGAAATGGATTACGCGTACAAATATAAGAGTTCAAATCATCTTAATTATATTCATAACATTTAACTACTCTATACTATTTATTTCAACCATTTGCTCAATTCGATTGAGTCAGAATTCTAGAGTGTACTACACTCGACAATTCGATATCATGTGTTCTTCCAATTATGCAGACTCGAAAAAAAAACAAAAAGTATGTGAAAGTGCCCCTTTTTTTAAGGCAATGTCATGAACATGCACGTTTTCATCGTGCAAAAGTGGAATCAGTATTTTAAGTCTATGAGTTTAAATTTTAGAAAAAAATTACTAGATTTTAAATAAATTATTTATATATTTTTAAATTTAAATGTAAATTCTGTATCAAAATTATTATTTTTTGTTGATAGAAAAGGATAGGTCTGCCCTATATACTTGGGGGATTAAATTTCAATAGAGAGGATTTTAGAAGACGTGTCCACTAGTAATGCTAGTAGGCGGCTTTTAAAGTGATTGAGGCGGCTATTGACGAAAATGTTGGACTGTCCTTTTTCCTAGTATAAGCTAGAGTTTGGCTTGTAAAGGTTCGCTTACCAGGACGTTCGATATGAAGTCGTGATTTTAATTATGATGTCAAATTAATAGTTAAGTTTATCAAACTAGTTCTACAATTATTCATTTATCTTTTCTCCAATTCTTTTATTATAATATGTTAGTCAAAATAATAATTTAAGCTTTCTATTAGATTAAATATCATTGTATAAAATAAAACAAATCAAGGATTATTTACTGAAATGGTTCGACTTAGTTGTTAGACATGACTTGTCTAATTGTCTCAATATGAAATTACCTTTCTAAAATAAAATGCACAAGTTACCATAATTTTTTACCCAAAATAAAATATGTATGTCTTATAGCTTTGCGATAAGGTTTGGCAAATGTGAAGTACGCATCTAGATTATTTCTCGATTATGACTAGCTTCTAGTTATTAAGACTCTTGATCGTAAAACTAAAAAAAAAGAAAATCCTAACGCGACCTTATTGTACTCTCTATAGTTATGAGAATTTTGGATTTCCTAATTATTGCATCAATAATCTGCACTCGCAAATTATAGAGCTATAAGATTCATGATTATTGTCAATACAATTTTGACTCTCACAATTGTTGCATCGGTGATCTAACAATAACAGTATTTGAGTCAAAAAAATCACAAAGAAGTTAATTAAAAATATGTGTGATTTTCATTGGAAGAAAGCCTCAAAACATTTGTAAAGATCAAATCAGATGAAGATATCTAAAAAAAATCATTTTTTTCATATAAAGAGATTATATGGGCCTATGAAGCCCAACATTGGTTTCTGCATCAAAACTCATCTAAGCACATATACCCAATATTTGGCACAAATTATATTCTTAATTTTACAACAATTTTGAAGAAAAAATTTAATGAACTTGTGGGCTTTTATGTCCATCTGGGAATAATGCATAAAATTCATTCGGCTTGAATCTCATATATATTACAAAACCTAATTTAAATATTTATAAAATAGGGTTTGTTCACCTTTGTGCTTAACGTATAGGTGAATTCAAAATTTAAATTTGATGGGTTTGATCTTTAGATTTCTGCATTGAACTCATTATACTTGTGAAATTATGGATTCAAAATTTTATATCCTTGAAATAAAATTATTGAGATTTTTACACGAATAGTTGAGTAAATTTACTGTATACCTTTTCTATCATTAAGAATGAATTGATTTCAAGGGATAAGATTCATATTATAGTCAAAAGTGTATATCCACACGCATTCTTGATTTCTTTCACTTTCATTCCTTCCTTTTGTGATTTGTCCTAATTCGTGAAACAATAAAAACTTACTCGCAATGAATACTTACGATGTACATCAAATCAAACAATTTAATTTTAATAGTTAAAATATCTTTTTTTGATTGGACAGACTATACTCGGTAAATTATGGGCATATATGTGAACTTGTCTCTAACCAATTGATTGCCATGATTCATGAATATGTCTCACTCATATCTAGAGAAGTTGATATAACTTCAATCTAATAAATTTATTTGAATTCAATATTTTCAACATGAAAAATATTACACACATAAAAATCACTATAATTGAATTCAAATCCATAATTCTATAACTGCAATGTATGTTACACTAAGATTTTTAGAAATTGATTGCTTCAAATTTAAATCTTGAATCTGACTATTCTGATAGAGTCATATTCGATTAATAATGTCGAAAGTGTTCTTTGACTTGTTTGGTAAGTGTCGACTGGATATAGTAGACCAAGTTAAATGTATCTACTTATTATATTATTAAAGATTTTTCATATTCATAGGAAAAAAGGAACAGTTGGGGCTTTAATATAGAAAGCCAGTTTGAATGAAAGGACAGTACGGTTTTGTTACAAGTCTTCCCATGCATGCATGAAAAGGTTATATGTTACAGATAAAATAAAGATAATATAATAGGACAAATTACTTAACTACACTCCTTTACTTACTTTAATATCCATTTATCCCTACTTATTTAAAAAAATTCAAAAATCCCTTATTTACCTATGTATCCCGTGCACAACACTATGTATCCCGCTATGTGGAATGTATCAAACGCTATGTATCCCGTGCACAACGCTATGTATCCCGCATGTATCCCGTGCACAACGCTATGTATCCCGCTATGTGGAATATATCTCGTGCACAACGCTATGTATCCCGCTATGTGGAATGTATCAAACCTAATGTATCCCGTGCACAACGCTATGTATCCCGCAAACATCATTTTTAAGGGATTTTTGGTAAATAGAAAAGTAGAAGGGATAGGATGTTATTTAATACTTATAATATGTGGTTCCTATAATTTATACAATATAATAAGTATGGAATAGTCTAATGTTATAATAAATATTGATAAATGAGGAAAGAGACAAAACATATATAAACAACATAATAAAGAAGAATTTTAAAACAAAAATTAATTTGTTCAAGAAAAAAAAAAGTTAGTAGTACTCCCTCCGCCATGCATCTTTTACTTGTCGGGTAGACTTGGTACAATCTTTAAGGAGCAATAAATAGAATAACAATTTCAGTATATCACTCTTTGAATATACTAAATTCGATATTTTGAGAAATGTATTGAAAAGATGATTATAGTTAATAATAAAAGTAAACTAGAAATTAATAAGTGATTTTTTGTACTAGTATTTTTTGAAGCATTCTATTTAACTACTTAACTAAATTTAATCTCATCATGAACATAAGAATAAGAAATTTCACCACAAAAAGTATTGGCTCATTGCAATAGAACTCTCTTATTGTGTGATATAAATGTAAGAATTCAATAACATGAATGTCACTAACAAAAAATTAAAGAATTTAATTTGTGATTATATATGATAGGACTCTCACATCAATTTGCAATAACTAATTTAATTTCCTTTAGAAGGACAAAGATATTGACTTATCCCATGGCAGATCCAACAATAGATTCGATAAAAATATAGTGTTTTAAGTCTGAACCCTACATATATATAGAGAGGTGTCAAATGGGCAGATTGAGTTGAAATTGAATATATTAAAATAGGTTGAAATAGAAATTGGATTTGATTTTGACCCGCATAAGTTTACGTTGGGCTCAAATGAGCTTAAAACGGGTTGGGTCTTGAGTCCTGACCCACCCAATTTGAATCGCTTAATCTCAATAATTTAAATATAATGTTATTTAAGTTGTATAACCACAATTTGAATTTCAACTCAAGAAAAAATAAAAAAAGAAGTTACAAATTGATAGATAAAACCTAAAAGAAATAAAATAGATAGTAATTCATACCTTCAATATAGGAACATACATTACATCAATGCAAATAAAGAGTTAAAACGGATTGAAATTGGAGATTAAATTGGCATCAATTGAGGATTCTCTTATTATGGGTTAAGCCCTAAATGAGTTGAGATTGAATCCAATTCAAATTATCTTAAGCTCAACTCTTAAAATTCTAGGCGGCTTGGATAGGTTATCCATAGTTGAGCTCAATTTTGACACTCATATATATATATATATATATGAACTAAAACAAGTACACATTATGTTAGGTATGTGTGTGAAAGAAAGTTTTATATGGAAAATAGAAAAGGAAAAAAAGATTTTTATAAGGGTTGGATACTTTTGGTGTGAGGCCTCTAGAGAGAGAAAATATGGAGATTTGGTTTCGAACAAGTAATATTATTTTATATTAAGAGTATTTTTAGATTAAAACAATTGATATTAAAACCACCGATTCGGCCACACAAGTATGGAGATGAGGGGAGTGATAGATAGCATGGGGTCCGACTTAGGTGTCTTTGCTCATCGATGGGCCGAAGAATTTGTTGTGTTTGTCTATGTCTTTGAAGACGCACACATAAAAAGAGCTTTGGTGATCATAAATTATTTGAATAATATTATCTGGCTAACATAACACATTATCTCCAAATTAGTTCACGAGTTACTATGCATCATAATAGTTCAAGGGGATGATTGTTATGTATCAATTGTTAACACACACATATTGAAACTTATAATTTTCTCAACTCAAAAGTGCTTATGTTTATAATTTGAATTCACCCTCAACTCGTTGTGCATATATAAAAAAAAGAAGAGAGAAACAAGCTTTTATGAATATTAATTCCTTCTTTTCATATTAGTTGTTTATATCATCAAAAATAGTTATTCTAAATTACTTGTCAATTTGCAAAACCAAAAGAGAGAACTAACTACTTTTTCTCATTTTACCATTGAAATTGTAAACAAGTTTGTAAAGTCCAGAAAAAAAAGTTAAT